AAATTTTAAAATTATTTTTTTATTAATAATTTTTATTAAGTATATTTTATTAATTGACCCAAAATATTATCTCCTACTTACTTAAGACAAAATTGTCGTCCATTTTGTAAATTAAAGAGAATTTGTTTCAAAGTGTTTTTACACTATTTTTACCTCTTTCTGTAGAATTTTTTTGTGAATTACATTTTTTTTTAAGTTAATATTTTTACCTTTTTTTCTGTGGATTCTTAAAAAAAATTTCTTGTGTTTTTTCTGTAAATTACGGAGCATTTGTTTTAAAATTTATGTTTTTACACCTTAATTTTACTTTTTTTTCTGTGGAATTTTAAAATTGTTTGGTTGTGGTGTTTTTTGTAAATTACGAAGAATTTGTTAGAAAGTATATTTTTACACTATTTTCACCTTTTTTCGTGGAATTTTAAAATTAGTTTTGTTGTGTTTTTCAATAAAATTAGAAAAATCCGTTTTACATTATTACCTGCCACCTTTTTTCTGTCAAATTTTAAAATTATTTTTTTATTAATAATTTTTATTAAGTATATTTTATTAATTAACACCAAATATTTTCTTCTACTTACTTAAGACAAAATGACAATAAGACAATATATCAGAAATTAATTTTTTTTAATTTTTTTTCCGTAGATTAAACAGAACAGAAATCAAAGATAAATTTCGGAAATGGAAGGGCGAAAAAGTCACTTTTTGTGTGAGTGAAAAGGGGGTTTTCCGGCAATTTGCGAGAAAATTGGTGACAAGGCTGTTAAAATGAGAAGCGAGAATGGAGAAATTTGTGTTTTGATCAAAAACTCCCATTACGTGCATGAAAAATAAATTCTGTTTGAAATAATAAATGTTTGTGTTTTACATTTGCCAATTTGTCTAAAAACGTATTCTTTTTTTCGTCAGTTTTACATTTACACTCTCTCAATTTCAATGAGATACATTTTTTGTAAAACCTTTTTTTGAAATTTGCCTAATTTTCCAGTTTTTTATGTGTTTTTACTTTATTTTTAATAACAATCATGTTTTTCGCCAATATTTGTTTTTTTTTTTGTGTAAAAAATTTTTTTTCACTTTCTATAAATACATACACAAACTTAATTCTCTGTAAAAATATAACTTTTCTGTGAATTTCAACTTCACCTGTAGATTCATACAATAGCACTGTTTTTTTTGTGTTTTCTTCCTGTAAATTACGGAGAGTTTATTATAAAGTTTATGTTTTGAGAGTATTTTTACCTCTGTTTCTGTAGAATTTAAAAATAGGTTTTTTTGTAAATTACGAGGATTTATTTAAGTTTATGTTTTTACACTATTTGAACCTTTTTTTTTCTGGATGTTTTTTTTGTAGATTACGAAGAATTTGTTTGAAAGTCTAATTTTTACACTATTTTCA